GCATTAAGTTTGATGAATCTTTGCAGTTTGTCATGTGATTTAGAGAGTGAAAGGATGGAAATTTTAATAACTATACACACACACACACACACACATACATATATATATAATATATATATATATATATATGTTTTCACCATACCTTTTCTCAATGGAGATGAAGACAGTGCAGGTGTGTGGAAAGTTGCTGCAGAGTCGGTGCAGTGTTCGGAATAGGCCATCCGTCAGATCATCATCATAACAAACTGGTGACACATTAAGAAATCTAATTATTGCTGAGCTTCTGCATTTGTTCCATAAATGACTCTAAAGTCTAAACTTAAAACTGTCTCAGTAAATAACTGCTTTTTACAAATCGCTTCACGAGTTGCTTCAGTTGCTCAGCAGTCTGGAGCCTCCTTTGCCAGACACAGTATCTCAGTAGTTCACACTGTGTGCTACTCTGGGCTTTGCATGGTAGAGTTTCTGACAACGAACTGGTGCTTAAACCTTGCTGCGAGGCACATAATTTTAAATGTTTGCCCACAGTGTCTTGTCTAGAACCTTCCCATCTTTTTCAATAACTCTTTCAGAGCTCTGATCTTTTAGAGATGTCATCCTCAAGACTTACCATTAAATGTCTTTATGGACCTTGCTGGGAGAATTAAATTGTCCAAAACGAGTTCATCTAACTCCTGAAAAACAACCCCACACCATAAATCCCCCTTCACCAAATGTCTTGTCTTGGAAACCATCAAACCTAGACTGAAGGAGAAGCATGATTTGTCCTTTCAGAGAACATGCCACCATTAACAGGTGACTGATTAATAGTTTCTAGTGCGGAAATTTCTTGGCTGGACTTGTTGCACATCCTACCACACTGGAGTTCACCGAGCTCCTGAGAGTGATCTATTCTTTCATAAATGCTCGTAGAAGCAGTCGGCATGTCTAGGTGCTTGATTTTATAAATATATGTAATTAAAACATCAACTGTAAACGTGAAACATATTTTAGGTCAAAGTTTGGGTGAAAGTTTCTCTTCACTTTGGTTTGGTGCTGGTACAAGATCAACATTAAAATGCTTCCGGATCAGATCTGGCTTGCTTCAAAGGAAGAGGAGTCGCAGTCACCTTCCACAGCTCCTGCAAAAATATATATAACATACAAATAAACAACTTATTGCAATTGATGAAAGTCATCCTTTATCACAAACCCACTTAACCGTATTGGATTCGGCCGCCACAGAACTTCAAGTGATTTTAGAAAAAAATGAGACCTTTTCACTGTTTGCATGTTATATTTAAAAAAAAAAAAGTTATTGTATATTTATTTTTAAATGGTTAAAAAAATGCTTTTTGAGAATTCCAAATGGTGAAAAATACTTTGGGTACCGTAAATCGAACATAACAGGAAAATTGTCTTTAATCAAGCAGTTTAAATACAAACACTGTCTTGCTGTAAGCTTTATCGCGTTTCACGGAACGCGTGTCTGCAAAGTGGCTAATGAGCTAGCTGCTAGCAGCCCAGCCACTGCTAGCTCTTAGCTAACGCAACCCCGTGGTGCCCCTGTACTCACCGGCAGAGTCGACGTTTGCCGGGTGTGCTTTCAGGCCAAAAGCCGGAACAAACTCGGCGGCGTTTACATTGGGCACAAACGGCTTAGCGTTCACATTTAGCGTTGTGAATGCTGATTCAAGTTGTCCGTCGATCGTGGCCTCCACATCGTCTTCTTGTTCCCAGGAATCAGGGGCAGTGTCTCTCGGGTCCATCGTGGTTGTTGGATTTTCACCGCCGTGAGATTTGAGCTGCGCAGTTGTTGAGCCACACGAGCGTCCTCCCGAAACCCGACGACGCCGTCCGCCCTGGGAATGCTGG